AAGCCCTCACTGAAATACACTACACTACATGAGCTCACTAGTCCACATGGACAATGCTGGTATTATTTTGAAAGTGGAACGCAATTTGAAGCAAGAAAGATAACATAAACAATTGCCAGATAGTAAAGTAAATTAATCATTTCATGTAATAATATACATCATAATAAAGTATCAAAATAATATTGGACAACAACACAATCGCTGATAATATTATACATATTCGCCTTCAAGCTGTATAACGTGCGCGCCGACGCACAAATAAAGGCTAAAATTTCGCTCAGTGTAAAGCGGAGCAGAGTCGCGCAGAGCGTAGCACGGTAGCCCACATTGTTTGTGTGTGTATGCATGCCTGTGTGTGTATGTATATGTGATGACGATGACGATGGTAAAAAAATAATGATAAATAATAAAAAATACAAATAAAACCTGTACACAAAAAAGCACAAAAAATAAACCAAACTCAAAGCTTCGTCATCGTCTTTTAGTGCGTGCGGCTTAACTGCAGCAAAGCAAACTCGAAACTGGTCCGCGTCTGCGGACAGGCTGCTAGACGAAGGAGGTAGAGAGGGAGAGCGGGAGTTGCAGGCGCATTGACAGCAACCAACAGCCAGGCAATAACAACTCCAACGCCAAACAGATCGCTCTCGGCTCTCGAAGCTTAACGTTCGGCTCGCGGCAGTCGGCTCTCTGCGCTTGACTCTCTCTCTCTCTCGCTCTCTTACTCTGTGCTCGAGCTTAACTTGTTCTGCGTTCGGCTCAGAACCAACGCAGCCGAAGTTGGAGTTGGAGTCGGAGTCTGCAGTCAGCACATTTGGATAAAAATTGCTTGTATATTGTTGTTGTCATTGTGGTTACAGCTCTTGCTGCTGCTGCTATTGTTGTTGTTTTTGCTGCTGCTGCTGCTGTTGGAGTGTGGCTGCGTTAGCTTTGGAGTGCTGCACTTATTATTATGCGCTTCTTTTGCTTGCTTTTGCTTCTGTTTGCCTTCTCTGATTTCTGCCTCAGTCTGCCCTTGGCTTGCTCTGCTTCTTGTGCCTCTTTTTCTTTGACTGCTTTCAGTTTTCTAGAAGAAATCACGCAAACACTTTTGTTGCGTCCTTTAAGGTCATTAAAAGTTCATTTGGTGTTGTTGTTTGTGCTGTTGCTGCTGCTGTTGTTGGCGTTTTGATTTTGCTAATGTTGCTGCTGTTGCTAACGTATGTATGTGGCCAGTGTTGTTGTTGATGCTGTTATTGTTGTTGCCTCTGTTCCTATTGCCGTTGCTGTTATTGTTGCTATTCCCACTATTGTTGCTTTTGTTTTAGCTGCTTGATGTTGCCAACGCATAATGCTACTGTTATTCTTGTTCTGTTTGCTGCCACTTTTGCTAATAGTGCTGTTGTTGTTGTTGCTTTTGATTTTGCTGTTGCTAACGCCGGTTCCTGCTGTCATTGTTTCTATTGCTAATATTGGTGCCATGTTTTTATGCTGGTGCTAAAGCCTGTGGCTTTTGTTATTCGTTCTGTTATTCTTTTTGCTGTTACATTTGCAGTTGTTGTTATTATAATTAACACATTCCCTTAATTTTGGATCTTCCTTAATCATACAATTTATATTAGCTAACTCATTTATTTTATCATCACAATATTTTTACTGTTCTTTTAATGCATCACGTACGTCGTATAATTAATATACTATCCAAAAGCGTGTAATGTAATATCATGATCTGATCTGGTATTCAGCGACATTTTTGAGTCACTTGCTCGCTTGCATCATTCCAAGTTCAGACGCAAAGGTCGTCAGAGATCTTTAAAATATGTCATAACGAGCATTTCAAAAGTGCTAAAGCCGACACTTTGGGGCAGATATGGGCACCCAGTCTGTCGCCCCTACCCCTAACCCTCAACTGTTTCCCGCGATTTTAAGCGCGACACAAAAGGGTTGCGCTTTAATTAATTAATCAAATCGGTCAAGGAATTCAACAACAAAAGATCGTTGAGTCATCAATTTGATATGCCTATATGTATGTATGTACATATGTATCTGTATGCATGTATGTATGTATGCCCACATGAATCGCATTCTTTTGAGGTCAATTTATAAGTCAGCTTTGCCGCATAATTTTCTTCGAATTTGTCATGAATATCAACTTAATTAACTGTTAACTGTTAAATACTAAAGAAAGGGCGCTATACCCACTGCTTCCAGTGCAAAACGGAAATGATGGCACACCCACACGCTCATCCATGCAATCGCCCAGTGGGGCTAATAATCTGTTCTCTGCTGCATTTACATCAATGGAAACAGTTCTGGTCATAGGAATAGGTACACATGTAATTAAACGGAATAAACTATTAAAATCGAGCATAATTATTTCAACATAAGCTTTTTAGTCTACAAACTGTATAATAAACAATATTAATATCAACTACTTTCAATTATTTGCAACCACTAACTCTCAATGTTTCTATTTTTATGAACGGCATTGTATTTGCCGAGTAAAGGACAAAAGAGTGAAAAGGTAACGGGAACTGTTTTATGCTCTTTTGTCATTTACATTACATTCTTCAAAAAATGTGAAGCTCTTATTCAAGGTCAGATTTGGCAAAAGAGAAAAATAGAGCTTTACACGTTATAAGAGAAGACGCCTGCTATTACTACACACATGCATACGTAAATATGTGTGTGTGTGCTTACATCCGCGCTGCAGACTTCAGTTAGAGTCGTACGGATGTATGCATGCTTGTATGCGCATATGTACCTATATATGCATGTATTGTATGTATGTATGCATGTACAATGGGCATAATAGCTAGTTAGACAGACTGTAGAAATATACATAGCAGGAACTCCCTTAGTTGTATGTGACCAAAATGACATACATTTACACACATACACATACATATGTACATAGGTACGCGTGTGCACTTAGATTCATGCACAATCAATGCAAATGGAAATGTAAATTTTTCAAATTGTAAAAGTAACTTTGCTGTTGTTGTTGCTGTTGCGCAGATGCTCACTGAATATCAAATTACGCGCGGCTCGGTTTCGAATCGAGTGTGTGGGATAATGTGTCGGCTGTGTCGGTTGGATTTATGTTTATCCAAATAAGCGCGGTATTTTTTTAAGTAATAGTTGCGATTGTTGCTGATGCTATTGTTGTTGTTGTTGCAGCTGCTTTTGGTTTGCTTCTGCTGTGGGGTGCTAATAAATAAATCGCATTTGCCGTGCAAATACACACATAGACCTCACTTCCACCCATACCTTTAGACATACATATGTATATACATATGCGATCACAAATATGCCCGCTATATAGCTATATGCCATAGGCTAGTTAACCCATTCCATATAGGGTCGAACCATCATACTATATATGTATGCATGTACATAATGTGTGTAGAGCTCTATCTCTAGGCATAGAGCCCTATTCATTCATTGTAGTTATTTTGCATAGTCTGAATTAGTTTGCACTCAAAATACCCTGTAATCTTAGATTTTAATCTCTGCCATGTATCATAAAGTTTGCATAAAACCTGCATTTGCAATAGACTAAAATTGTAGAGTTGATAAATTACAGAGTAGCCATTAGTTGAGCATATTAGAGGGTCATTTAAAGGGCTATCACATCTTGTTGTTGTCTTTACAGTACACTTACCAGCTCATCTTAAATCCTATACAGGGTATCGCCTAGTCGCTAACAGGCATCACTTGGTCTGTAATACAGAATCTGTATGCGTAACGCAATCTATTCATAAAATGAAATTAAATAAAATAAAAATAAAAGAATTGAAAAAAATGGAAAAAAAAACAAAAGAGGAATAAATATTTTCATTTGTAAGACCGGAAGAGCACTTCCTCTCTCTGTGGCCATCAATCCCGAACACCCGCAGAAAGATAGACAGCGTAGCAACAACGCAGAGCCCCACGTTGTCCCGGTTGTTGTTGTTGTTGCTTTAGTATAGATGAATGTACGCATGCTAAATGGGCTGCCCTATGGTGGCCTGGCCCGTGCCCCACTCAAAGTGCAACAGCTGCCCGATTGTATAACTATATATGTGTACATATAAATATACATATGTCTGACTGATTGCGCTTACATACTTACATGGAAATGTGCCTGATTGTACTTGCTAAACATGTTTAGTTTCTGTTATCGGCTGGAAGAACCGCCTTCATCCGCCAACGCTCATTGAAAATGCAATGCAATGTGAAGTGCGTATGTGTGTGTGTGTGTAAATTTTATAAAATCACAAAACAGATATCATAATGAAACATAACCTCAAACCGTACATAAGCTCATAATGGTAATATAATTTGATTTGAGCATAATTTCCTTGGAATACATAGATACTGCAGAAATGCAATAGTTATTGTATTATCTGATAATCAAACTATAACTAAAATTATAAATATTTTTCAGACTCTCTTTATTATACATACATATCTAGTATCCGAAATATCACTTCTTAATCATACAGATTTAGTATCTAACATAATCCTCTATAATTGTGATTATACTCATACTCGTACTCGTACTAAAATACTCCCCATTATCCAATTCTCATTTCCTTTATCCATTCATGAACGTTTTTCCAAACAAATAGATTCGATGTTTACATTACAATAAACTAGATGCCATTTGCTGAAGTGAACTTTGATCGACTCTAAAGGAAATCATGTCCCGCCTTTTGCCGCTTTTCCGGATCCGTGTCCGTCAAACGTGACGAGTTTCCCGTCAATTTGTATAAACGATCTCTCTAACTTGGAAAACTATTTTCAGTTTTTATTTTGATTGTACGCAAAACTTTTCACTCGCAGCGAAAATTTTCCGCAAAAATAAAATTGAAGAAAATGGGGGAAAATATTTCGAATAGCTTTTAGCGAAAAACTGGCGCCAGCAATTGCCTTCGACTACCTGAAATGCTCATTAATCTGAAGCGTGAAAATTTTTGGGGAAAAACAAATGACAGACAATGAGAGAGAGAGCTAAGTGGATAAGCAAACATAAACACATACACATACAGATTTATATATATATATATATATATACATATGTATATATAGATAGATCTAGTATATATATAGATCTGCCAGCGCGAGGGAACGGATTTAGTTTTGGATCTGTGGCGAACCGTGGCTATGAGTATTTACGTCATGATTTATTTATAGTTTGAACTCAAACAGGTGTAAACCGTAAAAAGGCAAAAAAAAAAAAAAAAAAACATTGTTTAAATCATTTAATTGTAAACTTTTCGCAACGTCAGCAGCACGAGCCGCTGCGGCAATGTTGCTGCCTCTTGTGAGCGCTCCATCAAAAAGGGTTAAGAAAAAGACAAAATATAAGACAGAAGAAAGATAAAGGAAAAAAAAACTTGGCTGCAAGCGAAACGCTTCCAGGAAGCGGACGCCGCAAGGTAGTTCATCAAAACTTTTGGCACGCGGCGTACGAATTCGCTCCATTGTTCAGCGAAAAGGGATCAACTCACACATGCTCTCTCGCTCGCTCACGCACACATGGCTGGTGTTAAGATGCGCGCATAACTAGCAAACAGCTACGAACTCAAAAGCTCAGCTGCTTAATTTGAATGATATGAACGTGAGTATCGCACAATAGAAGCAGAGCGAGAGGGAGGGAGAAGAGTAGCTGAGTGGAAGAGCGGAGCTGTGAAAGAGTGAAGGAGATGGACTGAAGACAAAGGTATGGGAGTGGGAGTGAAGGAGAAGAGTTGAGGAGGTGAGTACAAGACGAGAGAATGAGTAGATGAGCAGTTGAGCAGAGGAGGAGAAGGCGGTAGAGCAGCAGACGGAATAACGGAAGGACGGGAAGAGAGTAGGTAGCCGAAGCCTGTGCCTTGTCTGTAAAAATGAGATTTTTATTTCATTGTCGTCGTCGTCTTCGATTTGAATTGAGCCGGGCAGCGCATTCAAGCAGCGGGCATAAATATTTATAATCAGAAAAACTTGGCTGAAAGGAGCAGCAGCAAAAGCCCAATGTAAAACTAAACGATTTCTCAATGTCTTTTATATGGGCACTGCAACGAAAAGAGGACAACATACAGTTCCAGCACCAGCAGCAGCAGCAGCAGCAGCACCACCAACTCCAACTCCAACTCCAGCTTCAGCTCCACAGCTCCCGGTTCCATGTTCAAGGGCCAGGGCTAAAGACAAAAAGACGAACTTCGTTTGCCGATCAAGAAACTTGTTTAGCACGCGTTACATCGGCTGCCTGTGTTGCTTTTCAAATTGTTTGCCTTGCGGTCAGTCTTCACTCTGAGAGAGCGCGCTCCCCCACCCCCGTTTGCTCCTCTGTTGGCTGCGCCCTTGTATTTGTTTATGCCCCATGTAAAAAGGCCAGGGCAAAGAGCGAAAAAAAAATGTATTTTTTTCTTGTTTTACTCGTAATCCGTTCAGCTAAACGTTGATCGCATGGCCTCTGTCCCGCTGGCTTCTCTCCCACCCGCTCACTCACCCTCACTCTCCTGCTCTCGCTCTCGCTCTCTTCCAGCCACCCCGCTGTCGGTCTCTGTTCGCTGCGTGGGCTCATTCTGGAATTTCTACACTCATTCTTGATTGTTTCGTTTAGTTATGCTTAACGCTCTGGGCCATATGTGTTGCAGCATTCCAGCTGAATTGGGTTTCCAAAACCAGCAGAGGAGCAACAACAAGAGGAGAAATATACGAAAAACCAAAGAACGGGAAAAAATCAAAACCAAGCCTGTCTGTCCGTCCGGCTGCCCGTCTGTCCGGCGGTCCGGCTGGCCGGGTCTGAGGCCGGGGCCAAGCCCGAACACCAGATAATAAATTTGAATTTCAATAAATTATTTTGTTGCCACAAGACAGCCGGCTTAGGTATCCTCTTCTTCACTACAATTGTGTCCAATGAATGAATGCTTTGTGTGTATACCCTGTATTGATTGGCAACGGCTATATAAATGCATTGATTGACTCTGAAGACTTACGAAACTTTGCAAGCTTAGCTTAGCTTTATTGGTTTCTTGTTTATTGATCTGTCATTATAAATATTTATATATATATGTCAAACTATATACCTCACTATATTCTGTTTCATATCTGTATCTACTATCTATATCTATATCTACTACATGTATATCTGTTATCTATCTTTTTTTTTTTTATTCATTGTCAACTCTTACCTCTGCAGGGCATCTGCAGGTCAGTCATGACTATTTTCTCTCAACTTGTTCTGCTTGATTTTTTTTATGATGTTTGCTGTTGTTGTTGTTGTTTGCGTCGCTGGAATTTCATTCAAAATATTTTTTGCTTGACCAATTTCTTTTTTGGCATTGCCGTCGCTCTCCCCTCTTTCTCCATCTCTCTTTGTCTTTTTCATGGCTATGGCTAGATGGCTGAAGATACGGAAGAGGAGCTAGCGTGCTGATGAAGCGATCAGGCCTTGACATTGAGGAGCAGCGCATGATCGAGCGAATGTTTGCAGTTGCCAATGCAGATCTGAGATGCACAGATATTGCAGCAATATCTTCTCCATATTATCTACTAGCTGTCAGCTATACGATCTCCCTCTCTCTCTCTCTCTCTCTCTCTCTCTCTCTTTCGCTCTCTCTGATCAGCATAAGTAATCAACCGAAAAAATATTCCAGCTTGACACAGCTTGACAGGCATAACTATCGCATCGCATACATATGTATATGGCCTAAGGAGGAAATCATAATGATGATCATGATCGCGATCATGATGATCATGATGATCGCTACAACATTAATTCATGGAGATTTCGTCAAAAGAAATTTTAGAGCCAACCAGTTATATGGCCAACAGATAGTTTACTAACCAGCCAAAAAAAAAAAGAGAGAAGAAGAAGAAGCAGCAGCAGCAGAGGCAAGAAAAAATTAAATCAACTGACAAAGCTAACAAACAACCTTCGTCATTAGCCTTAGCCAAACTATGGCATGTCAACGAAAATTAGCATTTTTTTTCTCTTCTTCTTCTATATTTTTTTTTTTTAGAGGGACGACGCGTTGTCTGAAGCTGGGAGCTAAAAAAAAAAAAGAATTAAAGTAAAACCAAGCCAAGCTGAAACTGAAGTCAATCGATCGGCGAGCAGCACGTTTCATGTTCAGTTGCTTGAAAACTGTGCGTAGGTAAGAACGCGACGTTGTTGTTGCTGAGCCAACACACACACACACACACACACACATGCATGCCCACTACAGCCTACGCATATTTTGCAATTTTCGTTTGTAACGCCCACGCATTTGAATTAGCTTAGAAATCAGCAACAACAACAACAACAGCAACAAACGTCTCATACAGTTGTATTCACATTATTTGCTTAGCATTGAGACACACTTTTTGACTTGGCTTTCAGACTGCGACATCGATTCGAAATTTCGATCTATAGATAAGACATAAACTGGAATATTGGCAACACTTTGGAGTATCTTCAGATATCTAGAATATCTTCAACTGTTAGATAAGCTGACATAGCTGTAATCACATTTTTAAATATCTCTGGTATGTGCAGATTTCAGTTAATGAAACTTCCAATAGTCCATCATATGTTTATCTACCTATACATATGTTCATATGCATATGTATGTTTAGCTAGATCTCATAGATTTTGACAATACAGACACCTCATTATGGCATATATCATAAATCTTTTTGAAACTAGACCAACAGCTTAGCCCGATTTGGATATTCTCTTGCATCAAGAACTCCTTCAAGAGTTTTGAGATTAGCGTTAAGTTACGCCGGATATGCTTGGAACTGTAAAATAGAAAGGAATTGGGGATCTGATGCACTAACTAATACCCTGTATTAGTAAAGAGTAGAAGTGTATTAAAGCCTTGAAGGTTATAGACTAACAAATACTCTGTATTCGAATGAAGTTGGCACAATGTAGATTTGCAGTATTGTTTATTTTATTATAGATCATATGTAGCTAATGCTAGCTAATACCCTTTTATGATTTTATGATTTTAATGATTTTTTGTATAATACCCAAAAAAGGCTGTTGCTTGGTTACTGGGTATCTCTATTATGCATAACTGCAATTTATGGCATCTGCCACACCCCCTCACACACACATACAGAAGTACACAGACAATAGTTAAGGCTGGGCAGCAGCTGCATTATGCGAGCGGAAAATGTGAAAATATGGTTCACAACGCCCAATGCGAGTAAAAGCGATGCAAAAAAAAAAAAAAAAAAAAAAAAAAAATACAACATAGAAAAAAATTCAGTTTAATCACCTCAAGAAAAAGGCCCATATGGCCAGATGACAAGCGGAGCCACCAACACAAACAACTCCCAAGCGGAGAGCCCACGCCAAAAGAGTAGACAAATACACACACACAGACACACATACATACATATATAACTGTGCATAGTTAGGTCTATGCGCAATTGGACACACGGAGTGTGAGAGCAAGATAGAGACGGAGAGGTGAGGAGTTTGCAGGCTTCAAAAAAAAGACGGGCGGCGAATGGTGGGCGGGGCAGAGCAGATTGATCAAGCGATGCGTCGACTGCAGATTTAATTACCCAGCCAGCATATTTTCACCCGCCTGGCAACAGCTGAGCTGAACACACGAAGCTTTGGCTACGGCTTCCAACTGGAGCATGGGCGTCGACGCCAACGCTAACGCCAACGGCGACGTCAACGGCTACGGCGACGCCAACGTTCAATGAAATTTCATTCACAAAAATTCACTAAAAACGAAGCAACGAAGCAAAGGCAACGGACACAAGTCACGCATGCGCGGCACCAACTGCGACCACACTGACGCCCAACAGTATGCGCACACATGCGAACAGATGGGAAAGTTTCCATACTAGAAAATCGACTTTTATTACAACTGAACTTTGTCAAAAGTTATTCAATTTCAATTTTAAATTAAATTAAATTAAATCGTTGCTAAGTCTACGTAAATAAAACAATTCAACTACGAAGAGTACATAAAAGAAATATTGATATATTTAATGTGATATTTATTAATAATATCAAGTGAGTTATTTTAGTTAGCTCTACTATGAATCTCAGTTAGCCCACGGCTTCGATCAGACGCCAGCGCAAATGTTGGCGTATCGAATTAAATTCCGGCAGCGCCGCCAAATTGAACTCCTCACCGGAGTCCAAACGATGATCGTACAGCTCCTCGCCGTAGATATTGTGCCAATCTGTAGAAGGAAATATAGAAGAGACTACAGCTGGACTAGATCTAAGCTAGGGATATTAATTAAGTTATAGCTTATATATTATGCAAACGTAATGAAGACGTAAGAGGATTTTCTATTATATCTTTAATCTTATATCTTATATTGTTACGTTAATATAGATTGTGATATATGTTTTCTATTTGAAGAGCATAAGAAACTTATCTGGTTTCATAGATTCATTTAGGAATATTTTGGCAACTTGGACATTTATATTACATTCTACAAACCTACCTCGACTGAAATTGTGGGCATGGAACCGCACCCAGAGCGTGTAGCGATAGTGACTCGTGCGTAGGGTATAGCCCATGATTTTGATATTGCGCAGCTTGGGTTTGTCGCTGTTGGGATGCTTGGTGGGCAGCATGCCGGGACGGGGATATTGGCTGATGGCCACATAGTCCTCACCTACAAGATGAACCGATTTCCACTTCTTTTAGGGGAGCTGCAATGGTAGCAAACTCAAACTCACCCAAGTCCAGGTCTTGCAGCATAGGATACAGGCTCTTGCCTTGGGAGCAGCTCAACTGTTCCAGTCCGCTGCCATTGCAAGCTGGCAGTGGAGGCAGATGCGCCAAGTCCACCAGCGTGGGAAATACATCCACCAGCTCAGTGATGCTGTGACGCACTCGAGGCTCTGTCAAAGGGAACTCCGGGCTGCGTATGATGAGGGGCACACGCAGGGCAACCTCAAAGTTACTGTACTTGGCCCACTCGGCGTGCTCGCCCAGCGACCAGCCGTGATCGCCGAGCACAGCGATAACTGTGCGCTCCAGATCGAGGCCAGCCAAGAGCTTGCCAAAGAGATCGTCCACATAGGCCACCGAGGCGTAGTAGGCCTGGCGTATCTGCGCCGCCTGCTGCCTGGAAATGGGTCCGTAGGGAAACGATATATTCCTATGCTTGAAATCATCTCGGGAACGAACATCTGTGTAGGGATTCCAGGCCACATCCGGCATGTCTGGCGGCTTCAGTACATCCTCCGTGTAGTTGTAGAAATGTGAGAGAGGAAATTTGCCCAGGAACTGCCGAGGGAAGCGAAAGTTGATGTGCGGCTTGTGAAAGCCCAGAGCCAGGAAATAGGGCTGGCGACTATGCTTGCGTGCATCAATGAAGCGCAGCGCCTCCGTTACGGACTCAATGTCCGGCAGCGTTTTGTACGGCTGCGTTTGCAGCTCCACTGGACAAATGAGGTAGTTCTTGCGCAGCACACCTCCGCCATGCTCGGGACAGACGGGAGAGTTCATGAACTGCTCGGTGCGAGGATGAAAAGCTGGCGCAGACCAGCTCAAGGGATAGTCATCGGTGTTGTTGGAGGACAGACCCGGGTGGAACACCTTGCCACAGCTGTAGGTGTAGTAGCCGTGCTGTTGGAAGTACTGCGGCAGCGTAGTAAAGTTGCCCACAAAGCTGCGCCAGTAGCTATAGAAGTCGTACAGGTGCAGGGTGTCTGGACGTCGTCCAGTCAGGAGGGAATTGCGGCTGGGTGCGCACAGCGCTTGCTACGGGCGGGCAGATGACATGAGAAGCTGTTCAAGTTAGTCCGGGATGCTGGTTTACCTGGCTGTAGGCGTGGCTGAAAACATTGCTGCCTTGGGCAAAGGCATCCAGATGCGGCGTTCGAGCCAGACCATCGCCATAGACACCCAGAGCTGGGCGCAGATCGTCAAAGATGACCATGACCACATTGTACCGGACAGTGGATTGGCCAGAAGCTGTAGCTGCTCCAGTGTAGAGCGTAGTCCATAGTAGCAACAGCTGCAGCAGCGACGGACCTGAGATATGGGACATATCGACGCGAGAGACTTTTGCGACTGCAGTCTGAAAGATGAGCAAGCGGCGGATGTGAATGCCGGCGACTTTGTGCTGTACGAAGCTGATTAACCAGACGGGCATATTAGCTGGACTTGCACACATAAACAGTCTATATGTAAGGCAACTATATATATGTATGAGGCATATGTCAATTACAGCCAGCTGTTTTCACTTATTAACTATTCAACATCATACAAATAAAACGGACTTAATTTAGTAGAGTTTGACTAACAATTTATTTACATACAGAGCATGCGTAAGTCGTGCATTGGCTTGGCTTAAAATTTCGCTTGTTTACGTTTCACAAAGAGCAAAAAATTTAGGCAAACAATAAAAAAAAAAAAATAATAATGAAGGCAGCCCAAGAGTAAACGAGCGGCGTAATTCAAAACCGCCCCCATTATATTTCAATTAAATTTAACGGAAGCGGGCCACGTCCACACGACAACGACGACGATTGGAATGTTGTGGAATGGAATGGAATGGAAAGGCGAGTCTGCAGCCGCGTCATAAAAGCCTTAAAATATTTGTATTTACACAGATCTACATACATTCGCACATATAATATATATGTATATAGTTTAATGATTAACAAGCTAACGAGTTAGCATAATTTGTTATTTTTCTTTGTGATTTTTAAAAACTTAACAGTCCAATTTGTCTGGTTGAATATACATATATGTAGCTAAAAGTTTCTCTCTCTCTCTTTCTCTCTAACTCGCGATCAGAGAGGGAGAGCGAGAGTGCTAACTGGGCATTTAAAACGTTGCTCCACAATTGCTGCAGCGCTTCTCGCGCATCGCCAAACAGCAGAGAATGCCGATGGGAAAGAAGAATATTGCACAGCAGAGACCCAGCGGCGAGAATGTGTCTTCCAAATAGCCAATGCGACACGAGGGACAAGCTCCAATCACAATGATCTCTGTGGGCAGCGCTGGCTGCACCACAATGCTGACTGGCGTCGTCTCGAATGCACCGTAGCTGGCCATGTTTGGCGGCGCTGTCGGCGCGCCATGATGCACACCAGCTATGAGCCGAGAATCTGTGTACATACGTAAATACTATTTATTATATTCAATGTTTTGTTTTGCTATCATTCGATAAGCTACCTTGCATAGGGGGTGCACTGCCTCGCATGACTTCCTCGTAGCTGGGCGGTTCTGATTCTTTTGCTGTGTTCGCAGCCATTGTGACGAAAAAAAGCTTTGACCGATGATTCACACTATTTTCAATACTTGATATTTGGCGTTAATTAGATATTGTTATTGTGGTGTTTTTATTGTGTCAGCTTGTACTCTTTGTTTGTATTGCAATCATTTGGCCTATCGATGAATCAGCTGTTGCTGTGTTATCGATTAAACTGCAGCACAATGCAACTAGCGCACTTACGCCGACGTGTAACGGTTTTAGAGCAGAGCAATAAGATTTGAAATTTGGCTTTCAATTAGTTATGCCGTGCTATTTTGGCATTTAAAACTTAACGCATGAATATTAAAGTGAATCAAGCTTTTTACACATATATTGGTATAACTAATTGTAATTTAATTTAATCTATTTTTTTTTTTTTTTTGTATCCAATGCTGCTTGGTTTGGTATTTTTAATTCATTTTTAAAATGCAATGCTTCTATATTCCTAGCTATTTTGCATATTTAACGCCCTGTTTAAAATTCATTGTAAAAATGCTGCAATCTATTCGATAAACATATGCCGGCGGATAGACAATTTCGATAGGCAGCACAAAGCGACCATGAAATATTCTTGTATACCTATAGCTGTACTCCTCTGCCGCCATTGGTCTCTTGTCTCTGTTGACGCAAAATCGGTATAAAACATTCGCCCATTGTAGTTTGTTAATTAAAGCAGTGAAAAATATATAAATAGTGCAATAAAGTTGGCGCAAATCTTGCGCATTTAGTTGCACGCAACGTGCAGAAAGTGAGTGTTGAGCGCTGCGTGTTTTGGCAACTTTTGTTTTGCAGTTTCGGTTTTGCTAAATCGATTGGCATTTTTTTCTCTATGTCTATTTCCGCTGCTTCGATTGCTGTCTCATTCATGCGCGCTTGAATGAACGAATGCTTAGAAGAGGAATAGAGAAGCCGCCAGCGCCGCCGCCAAGCAGTCCATAGTACTACAGAAAAGGCAACAAAAACAACATCAACAGTTTAGTGGGGAGGTAAACAAACAGAGTACCGTTTATTGCGTCAGCTAGGGTAAGCGCAGTAGCCGCTAATGCGCGACATGGCCGATCTAGATGCAGTTCATCTCGGCCTGGATGAGAATGAGGCGGACATTGCCGAGGAATTGCAGGACTTCGATTCGTTTGACACGCGAAGCGAGGCATCCAAGTCGCGAGCTGGTTCCATGGCCTCCGACTCGGAGCCAAGCATTAGCTCTGTAAGCACGGCACCGTCCTCCGTAGATGGCAGCAGGAGTGGCAAACGTACGTCCAAATCCAAGTCGAACAGTAAAACGAGCAAAGACACTGCAGCTAAATCCACATCAGCAACATCAGCTGCCTCCGCAAGCAAGTCCAGCAAATCCTCCAAGAAAACGAAACGATCCGCATCGCCTGGCGATCTTAATGGTAAGAAGAAAAAGTCAAGCAGCAGTGGCAGCGAATCCAAGTCGAAGAAATCCATGGATACAGATGACAAGGGCAACTCCAAGTCGCAGGACAGCGAGGAGCGTGAGTCGAGCTTGAAGAAGACGCGAAGCAAGAAAAATGTAAGTGGTAGCAGCTCCACAGCAGCTCATCTGAGTGGGGTAAGTGGCGGCAATAAGAGCGATCTAAGCGACGCGGAGGATGAGAAGCCGTCGCTGCCTGCCCTTGAATCGGACAGCGAGTCCTCGGACTCGGATTCGGGCATACAGCACAAACGAAATGGTGGCGCCCGCAGCAAGGCGGCCATGGCAAACAGCTCAAAGGGCTCCACACCAGAGAAGGATGGTGGCGGCAGCGGCACCACACAGAAGTCCTATGACTACATGACCAAGCTGAACTATCTATTCCGCGACACCCGCTTCTTTTTGATAAAGTCCAACAACAGCGACAACGTGCAGTTGTCCAAGAGCAAGAGCGTGTGGGCAACGTTACCGCAAAACGATGCTAATCTGAGCCAGGCCTTCAAGGAGGCGCGCAACGTGCTGCTGATATTCTCCGTCAACGAGAGCGGTAAGCTGGCTAATTGGAATATCTTCCGATAGATAATAGATAATTCCCCCTTTTGCCGTCGTTTCTTGTGATAGGTAAATTCGCGGGCTTTGCACGCATGGCCGCGCCCTCACGGCGAGATATTCCGCAGGTGGCTTGGGTGCTGCCTCCCAGCATTTCACCCAAAGCTCTTGGCGGCGTCATTGAACTGGATTGGATATGCCGCAAAGAGCTGTCGTTCAATGCCACCTTGCATTTGCACAACACGTGGAACGAGGGAAAGCCTGTGAAGATTGGACGGGATGGCCAAGAGATTGAGCCCAAGATTGGCGCTGAGCTGTGTCGCCTCTTTCCCGAAGACGAGCAAATTGAGCTGACGCCCATCTTGCGTAAGTCCAAGGAGACGGCGCGTGTGATGCGTGAGAAAGGCATCCATGTCATCTACAAGGCGCCGCGCAGTCTCTCCACGCGAGGGCACAGCGGTGGGCGTGGTAATAGCCAGCTGGGACCGATGCGACATAAGCGCAGCTATGGCGGACATGGGCAACCACATCACCATCAGCGACCCTATAGGCATCATCATCACCATCATGGCATGGGCATGGGTATGCCGGGCAGCGGTGGCGGCGGCGGCGGCTTTAAGCGCGGTGGTTCACCCTACCGTCAAATGGGAGGCAGTGCAGCCGGAGCCGGCGATATGGGCATGCCCTCGTGGGAGCGCTACATGTCCTCGGCCGCAGCTGCCGAGGCCTATGTGGCGGACTACATACGCAACATGCACGGACAGCTGCCCCCGCTGCCGTTTGTGCCGCCCTTTGGCCAGCTGCCCATGCCCTCGGCTGCAGGAGCTGGCAATGCATTGCCCCCGGGAGCGCCAGCATCAATGTACGAACAGCTGCCACCACCGGTGCGGTATTACGATGGACCTGGAGCGCCTCCGCTGCCAGATTACCCGCCGCCACAGCCGATGCGACCACCGCCGCCGGGTTTTGATAAAGCGCCCAGCTACGAGGACTTTGCCGCCTGGAAGAATGCGGGTCTGCCCACAGTGTCCGCACCACCGGGCTTTCCAGTCTACGCCGCCAATGGCGGTGGCAGCAGCAATGCCGGTGGTGGCGTGGGCGGGGCCAATGTGCCCAGTATCAGTGCAGGCAATCGGGACAATAACAACAGCTCCGTGGGCGGTCGACGACGCGATTATGGCGGTAACCGAAGTGGCTCCTCGCGACAATTCCGCGGCGAACGTGGCGGCGGTGGCGGTGGAGGGCAACGCAGCTATCGGGACGGCAGACGTTAAATGTGTCGTTGAGTATTGTTTACGGGTATAAAAAGAAAAATATGGAAAAGTGCGCGAAAGAAAATTCTCTCCTCCCTAGAAAAGTGTCGCGTGTGAATGTACGAAGAAGAAGATGGTCTAGATGATAATGTCTTCAAATGCAATGAAAAATTATAATGATAATGATAATGATAACGATTATAATGATAATGATAAGCTAAGTGAGCAAATGAGCGGGAAACATAGTTGGACCCACACACACAGAGCCCCAGCGCCGAAATAATCGTTAAACAAACCCACAAATCAAATCGTACGAACAGCTCCACAGCTCGTCTCTTACAATACACAACACTCCAACCAACTCTCTCTCTCTTACTTTCTGTTTCTCACACACTCTCTCTCTCCCTTCTCTTTTGCTTAGCTATTTGTCATGCGAAAGTTCTATGATTTAAACAAACTTACAAAATAAGCAAATTATCACAACAACAAAAATCTAATTAATATTTTAAAACGAAAAGAAAAAAAATACAGAAAAGAGAGAAAAAATATATGAAGCACAAATGTGAACTTTATTTAAAAGACGCTACAACAACAAACAACCCAAACAAAACCAAACCAAACCAACCAAACAGCACCACAAGAACGTACCGTTAACAATGTTAATGAAAAATCAAAGCAGTGATGTGTGCATAATGTGTGTGTGCGTGTGCGAGTGTGTGTGTTTGCGTTTGTGCGCTTTTAATCCTTGTGCTTACCCCCACACACGAGAGTTGGACTCTTAAAGCAATCAAAGTGCTGAATATCGAACGTTCTATGTGGAGTCAATGAAACGCCCCCACACTCCGCAGCACCCCCCTATAAAAAGCAAGCAGCACTCATACTATATATACATATATATGCATATGCATATATATACATATATAAATCGTTATTAATTAACGACTCAGATCTAAAATCGAATCTAACAACCGGACCGCAAGCTAACCCTTAAGACAAGAGAGCATAATAAACATGCCAAAAGACCAGAAACATTTCTCCTGGAAACTGAAAACGTTTCCAAAGATCTCTATTGAATTGAAAGGCTCAAATCTTCATTTGGTCCGTCATATTTGATGAGCCCCTTGGCTCTATAAAACGATCCCAATCTGGTCCTATTGACTTTTCAACTTCATAATTTCACAAGTGCAATTTTTCCATGACTGCCAAGACTTCAGCTTCGTAATGAAGCAAAGGGCCAAAAAGACTGAACGACACCAGAAATCGACAAATGGACTGAATTAGGAACTTTTTTCCTTTTAATTGTTTCTTTACAGGACACTGGAAGGAACTGAATCTGGAAACTGGTGGAACTAGAGATTAAAGACTGAATTCCTTCCCTCATGGCTGTGATTATCGCATACAACATGTATACCAATGGACGTGTTTGAACAAAGTCCAACATATATGGAAAATAAAAGAACTTGAAATATTTCGACTTTGATTTAATTACCATTTTGTTTATTAAATGCAGTTTAAACAGAAATCGGCCAGTTGTAGTTCCTGGGTTGCGAAATTTCCCTAGGGATATTTACAGCAGCTGCATTAGCAACATGTATGCTAAATAAAATACCGCAGACACCTCAATTCCCTCTCAACCGAAGCCGGTGTACAGTGTGACCGAACTTCACGAAAAGGCGAAACTAATCAACAGTTGTGTTATTTTTAATGCAACAGCTGATTTCTTATCGATAATTATTATACAACAAAAACATAAGATAAATTAAAGCTCGTTTAGCAAAACAAAGACTGCAAATGACATTGACCTTTCATTCTGACTAGCATTTCTAAATACATTGCGACAACTAAAGCACATATACACAAATACATATGTATATATCTTCTAAAAGCACTTAACGCATCAGCTCGCTTTACGCAGCTATGTATGTATGTATTTAGCTTATACCAATTAAAAAATATTTTTGGTTTTATTCATTTAAATAAATTTGTTTATGTATAAACACATTTATTTATATCACATAACACCACTTTATACGGTTCACATAATTTCAATCTTTTGAGCATTTGAAACGATGAGGGTGAGCGCGCTTTTTCATTCTGTTTTGTGCGCTTCATTCGTTCTTCCGCTCCCGAGCCCCCTGCTCTAATTTGCTTCTGCTGTCAACATAACCAAACTTCTGACGCCGAACAATACATGACGTATGCATGCGTGTGCGTTTGTATGTGTGTGCATCGCATGTAGCTCGCCATGTATATCTTAATCAGCTACATGGTAAGCGGCCCGAGGGTGCACGCATTGAAAACTACGCTTATAACCAACTAATGCATAGTGTGTGCTTTTTTAAAGAGCTGAGAAAAAGGATGAGGAAGGCTGCAGTTCAGCGTAGTGTTGCCGTTAGCTGTTTATTGAGATTTGTTGGAGAAAGTCTATGGGAGTCTTACCATGTAGATATGTGTGAGCCGATGGCAGCGTATACATGGCAGATATTCTAGCTTACATGGCGAACGTAAACTGGTTCTTGGGCGAGGGCGGCACAGGGGCATTAGAAAACGAAAATTCCCCCACCCACACGACAACAACCACGAAGAAAGAGCCCACCATGTATTCGATATAGAAACGAATGGAGTTTTTCATATAACTTCACTATTCAATATATTTGACGAGTTTTGTTTTTTCTTTTTATAATTAATATTAATTTAAGAAATGTTGGGCATATTTTAAATGTACGATTTGTATAATTGTTTTCTTGATATTTACAGTGGGCGTAACATTTGCAGCAGCTGTAGCGGTGGCATCTCTGCGACTGGCTCAGAGCCGGCGCCCGTATGCTACTGTTCGATCTTGCGAATTTTAAGGCTTCCGGTACCGACACTGGCGACACCTTTAGCTAGGAGAGCGCTGCCGGCGCTAGGTGTATTGTTGCTGAGCGAGGAGGCAGTGCTAATCAGTTGCGGGACCAGCTGGCTATTGGTGCTGTTGGCTTCTCCCCCGTTTGCGCCGTTGCTATTGCTTGGAGAGGCGGAGGCACCGTTTTGCAGGCGACGCTTGAGCACAAATCGGCGCGTCGTAGTTCCCGCCATCACAGTTGCGCTTGTAGTGGTCGTGGCCGTTGAGACGGCGTGTGTGGACGACTTGGACGCCTGGGCCTGTTGCAGTTCCTCAGCCGTGGGATCTACCTCCATTTCAGTGGCCGTATTATCATCATGCTGTCACACGATAGAGAAAGGGAGAGAGTAAAATGAATATGTCTTCATGATAATTGTATGGTAAGGTAACTGCTTACCACATCGCTAGTCTGCTCCTCCTCGTCGTGGCCTTCCTCTTCCTCAAACTCAGCGCTCTCCGTCTCTTCGGGATACTCCACCAACTGGCCATTGAGTGTGGGAAACTCGATAACCGGCAAAATGAGTCGCGTCTGGTGTGCATTGTTCTCATCCATCAGCTGCTGTATTAGCTGGGCAATGTCTTCACGTTTCTTGGTCACAGTTAGGTAATCGAACCAATTGGTCAGTTGTTTAATGGGTAATCTATAATCCTTAATGGGATCCTTGAAGAATTGCTCCACATACTGCAGCAGATAGAGTCCGCAGTCCGTAAAATTGTTCTGTTGCGGCACTTTGACGCAATGTCCGGGCATGTTATCCTTATTGAATACGTGCGCCTGCGCATCCGGCTTCTTCACCTTGTATTCGCATGTCAAATAATCACGCAGCGTAGCCACAACTCGACTTCGAGACGCGCCCGCCAAAGAGTCAAATATTAATATCAAAGGCTGCTTTACAGCCGGCACATCCTCGTTTGTGGCTCGTGCGGGGCCAGAACTTGTCGCGGGCGCAGGTGTAGCTGCTGCAGCAGCTGTTGTATCCTTGCTGATGGGTGGATTTGAATTTTCACTAACCTCTGATGCCATGTCGCTATCATCGCCTTCGGCCTCATCGCGTTCGCTCTCGTCGTCGGCTATCCTACATATTTCGCTGGGCATGGTCGGCAATGTGACAGTTTCTCGCTTGGACAGCGGCGTGATTGTTGTGTTGCCGATCTGCAGAGCAATCTTTTTGCCTCGTGCACGCTTCAAATGCTGCGGCTCCACGGGCTGATTCGTATCGAAGGTGACGGGACCTTTTAGACAGGGGAAGCAAATGATGGCGAGAAACCAATGTGATTGCTCGTTAATGGGCACTATGATGAAGTCCTTATCAAATATATCCACGACTTTTGTCCATTTCTGGACACGAGCATGACGCTTTTGTGCCGCCGTCTGCTTAACGTCCGTTGGTCGAGTTAGGGTTGTGAGACGCTTATAAAAGAATGTACTGAATATGTGAGTACGTTCACGTTGAGCCTCTGGTATCAGCGTGTTGCGCAGCCAGAGCAGATAAAAATCAATAATAATGTCATTCAAATACGACTCCTTGGTCAAGCATACGTAATCCTCCATGCGTATGCACAGTCCACCAGTGCCCTTAGGCGGGTACATCAGCAGACTAACCTGCTCATCGGGACGAAGCTGACGCGGGGCCTGTTGCATGGGCTTGTCTAGTGCCTTGCGATCCGAGTCGGCGATACGTTCTAATATTTCTGCTGCATCCCGCGCTGAAATTTCATCCAGGAAACTAAACATAGACTTAAGAGTCTCGCGTGCCGAAACGCTGATCGTGTCGAAGAGCAATATCAAACGGCGCTCATGAAAGCTGCCATTCCACTTGATACCGAACTCTGCAAGTGAATACAGAAATGGAAATCACCAATATATATAATCACAATCTAATTGTATCGTTCACTTACGTTCGTTGGGTGTATCTTCAGGTAGCTGCAGCTGAGACTTCACATACTGAGCGCATGTTTTCAGCATATAGAGCGTGACCAGAGGCTGGGCCTGCTCGTAGCTGGCGAAGTGTGCAATAACCTTTATAACCTCGTGTTTGTAGATGTTCAAGACGAATTTCTCATCCTTATCGGGCAGCACGCCAGCAATGCGAACGCCCTTAGAGGTGAATATTATCTACACGAAATACACATTAGGTTTATTAATTTGAGAAATCTGACAGTATGAATATCTACTTACCGGCTCTGTTACCGTAAAACGATATGGCATCAGACGCAGGCATTTGCAGGTCAATTCGGTGGTGAACGTCTCGCCTTCGGGAAGATCGGCTAAATCAGTAACATCGCCTCGCACAAAGTCTGCAATGGAATGTTATCGTGATTAGCTTAAACAATTGAACTTCACTTCCTTTTTTTTTATACATGTGGCTGCACTCTGCAAGCAGTAGCGGCAGTCACATTTTTTCACACTACTAGTTTACTGTTGGCTATTTGTCGCTTACCATCATCACCCATTGTTACACTAGTTGGTTTAAAATTACTTAAAACTCATAGCAAGCTAACAAAAATTGAGAATCTAGTTGAAAGTGCACAGGAATTTGCAATTTATAATGCAATGCACTAGTTAACTTGCCCAATACGCACTCGCTTCGTACTCTGCTTCTTCTTCTTCCGCACTCTGGTCTGAAAAATGGCGTGGTGTTAAAGCGCCATCTAGCGTACTATAACGTAAATCGAACAGTGTTGCCAGCTCTTAATTACGGTGCAGCATGTATAGAGCAATTTTTTGTGAACCAGGGCTGCACAACTAATCTATCTCTATTATGACCGACATTATGGTATTAATTGATCACTTAAGTTACTATTAAATTGTCATTTCAAGTTGATTCATACACAGAGTTGTTGCTTTGAACTTACCTTTATACAGAGCTTCCTCGTCTACGTCGGCTAGCACTGGATCACAGGCGAAGGCGGCAGGCAGTTGATTAACATTTCCATTAGAATTACGTTTTGCATTGTGGGCGGGAAACTGCAGGATATCAGGCGATTAATATGCATATCTCGATGCAAATTATAGTCTCTACTTACACTGCCAGCGTTGCCATTGGAATCGTCCTGTTCAGCTTCATCCTCACTGCTGAGCAAGACAACTGGATCAGCCTCGGCGACTCTTCGACCGCTGCGCGTCCGTCCGCCTCTGATGGCCATGCCTCTGCCTCGCACGGTGGCTGATCCCGGGGTAAAGGAGCCAACGCCGACCACCTGCTTGTTGAGACGTGTCAGCTCACGCTTCTTATCCGCAGCCGTTGCTGAGTCGCCTGTCAATGATCCTGTTCCACCTATCGCTGCTGCAGTTGCATTCGAAGGCTTAGTTACATAGGCTTTTCGCTTGGGTGGCTCCTGGAAAACGCGTCTGCATCTCTCGCACTTGGCATGATCCATGCCTGTGAATCCGCACAACTGACAGACAGCATAGTAGCCGTCGATCAACTTGGGACCGTCCGATGGTGCATTCACAGCCGGAGAAGCGGAGCTTGTGCTGGTAGCTGCTGCATCCCGCTTAGCCTGATCCGTAACTCCAGAATTGGTTGCTGACGATTGTGGATTGTAGGCAGGTGTGGTGGTTGTTGTTGCTGTTGTTCCTGTTGAGGCTGCCGCCGCTGCTGCTGCTGCTGCGGCGGCGTTCTCCTGCTGCCGATTCATCTGAAGACTCTCCTCAGCGCGAGAGATTAGCTCGCTGGCAGATTCGTTGACGGAAAAGCCCACCGTAACCACAAAGTCCACGTTGGCGCCGTGATGCTCTACACACTGAATGGTGGTGGTATTGTCGAAGGGCACACAAACCTGCTCCAGCAGATCCTGTACGGTGCACGACTCTCGCGGCAGTGTGAATGTTATCAATCGCTGCTCTCCGGATGCTAGGATGACCAACATCTTGGCACTGTTGCGATCCCGATCCGCGATGGGCTGTCCCGCTCGATTATTCAATACGTGCTGCGAATGAATCTCGTAGTTGTTGTGTGACGTCTGCTGCACAGAGGAAGCGTGTGGAGGCGTTGGCGCTGTGGCAAGCACTCGTTGCTGGGGCATGATTCGCGCCACGGTCGAATTGGGCTGCTGCTGCTGCTGCTGTGCCGCTTGAGGCTGTGGCACCAACTTGGGCACCGATCGAACCAGAGTTCCAGGCGCAGGTGCTGGTCGCATGACTGTCGGTCCGGTGGTAGTCGGAGCTTGAGGAGCCGGCGAACTGGCCATGGTCTGGCGCTTTTTATATTCCGAAAGACTCATGGTGGCGCCACTAGCTGTCCTCACACCAGGCTGCTGCGTTTGTTGTTGCTGTTGCTGCTGCTGAAGTTGATGTGGTTGTTGCTGCTGCTGTTGTTGTTGTTGTTGCTGCTGCTGCTGCTGCTGTTGTTGTTCTTCTTCACTACTGCTGTTGGTGGCTGAGCTCTGCTGATAGTAGGTGGTCAATGTGGTATTCCCCGCTGGCGGCAGTTGCATTTGCATAGTTCCTGGCGCTGCCTTCTGTTGCTGCTGCGGATCCTTCTTGACCATCACGGCTTGTATGCTCTCCTCCAGATCCAGCCCCATTGTGTTCGTATTGGGCGCAGGCGCCGCAGCCGTTTGCGCTGGAGCTGGTCGATAACGAATTGGTTGTTGGCGCATCAGGACCATCTGCTGGTGCTGCTGCTGCTGTTGCTGGGGGTTGGGGCCCGCCTCGCTCACTACATGTCTGTAGATGTGGCGCGGCTGCATCTGCTGTCCTGGTGCCGTTACCGTAGGCTGACCCAAGTTCGTTATGGTTATTTGCTTGGCCATCTGTGGCTGAGTCACCAGCTGCATGGTCTGTCCGTCGCCGGAAGCCGTTGTCTGCACCACAAGCTGGGTTCGATTGGGCCTCACACCCTGTGGACGTACACTGCGCACAATGCCACCGGTAACTGTCTGAAGGCCGCCACGCGGCCGCATCTGCCGGACAATAGTGGGTGCTAGGGCTGGGCGTGCTGCTATCACAGTGCCAGTCGGTTGTCTGGCTATGATGGCACCCCCACGGGTCGCTTTGCCGCGGAAGGAGGAACGCACAAGTTGTGTGCCTGTGGTCACTAGCTGGGGTTGCTGCACCTGTACTTGCCCCTGTGCTTGTTGCTGCTGCTGTTGTTGTTGTTGTTGCTGCTGTTGTTGCTGTTGTTGCTGCTGCTGTTGAGGTTGCTGTTGCTGCTGTAACGTGGGTTTGGGCAACTGCACTTGCTGATAAACGACGTTGCCCGTCTGCTGTGGTACCACTCGTGTCTGCACCAGATGTGTGGTTTGTGCCTGTAGATGGAGTTGTTGCTGCTGTTGTTGTTGCTGCTGCACGTGTTGCTGCAGTACGTGCTGCTGCTGCTGTTGCTGCTGCGGCGATGTAGTGTATACCACGCGATTGTTATAAGCATGAATATTGATTCCCTGTTGCGGTATACCAGTCGCCTGACGCATAATCAGCTCCTGGTGCTGTGGAGCCTGTATTAGCACCTGTTGTCCAGTGGGCTGTTGCACAATCACATGCGTGTTGTTGAGCATCTGCAAGCAATGTGTTGCCATTAGTATGTTAAATCAATAATCCGACAAGAATACAACTCACACAAAGACATAATAATAGACAATAACGCGATTGGCGTTAAGTTTAATGTGTGTCAGTGAGCGATTCATATATTATATAATATCAAGTTTAGCCAACTATCTGACAGAATTTATATATAGTTTCATACGTCAAACAATCAGTATGATTTCTCACTGTGTAGCTAGCAGAATCAATATAGAGACCAAATAGAATCGCGATTCAAATGCCAAGCTGGGGTATTTACGAAAATAGTTGTGCGGCAATAAATGCTGGCAGCTGTATATAGCTTAGTCTCAGGCGAAAGCGCCGTGATAATTAATGTCTATATATCTATACTAAATTCGTAATTACAACATTAAACAACTGAGTTTACTGTAATATTAGATAGTTTCAATCGGTTGTCGTTTAATGCTTACGCTTATTTGTCGTTGCTGTTGCTGCGTCGTTGTCATGCGGTAGACGATCTGTGGATGCTGCTGTGGCTGTTGCTGTTGTGCTGGCGATGTCTGTAGCTGCAGGGTTTGCTGCTGATGTTGCGGACTTTGTAGCAACTGTTGCTGCTGTTGGGGTGCCGCTTGTACCAGGGGTGTCGTTTGCTGCTGGTAGGCGGTGTGCTGTTGCTGTTGATATTGCTGCTGATGTTGCTGTTGCAGCACTTGCTGCTGCTTCTTTTGTTGCTGCTGCTGTTGCAGTTGCTGCATTGAGGCGTGCTGCACAATCGTGTTGGGCTGCAGCACTTGATCGGATGTGTAGTAGATTTGCTGGGTGTGTTGAATGGCGGGTTGTTGCACATATTGCTGCTGTTGCTCCAGACGCAACTGTTGCTGCTGCTGCACTTCCTGTTGTTGCTGCTGATAGTGCACCTGCTGATGTTGGTGATGCATCACCACTTGTTGCTGTTGTTGTTGTTGCTGTTGCACGTCCTGCTGCTGTTGCTGCTGCAACTCGGCGCCTATAATATAGTGGCTAGCCGTCGCAGTCTGCTGCGGCTGTTGATACTGCGCGGGGGCAGCGGTCTGGTAGACCACTTGCTGCTGATCACTGAACACGAGCTGCTGATCGTCCTGTAGCACAAGAGACTGTTGTGGCAGAAGCATTAGTTCGCAGTTCCACATTGCGGGACATTTCCTTTGTACTTACACTCACTTCGTCGTGCGGCACTTGCACCACTTGCAGGTCGGAGTAGACGGGTTTCATTTCCATGTCCTCACTATTGCTATGTACTATGTACTGTTCCATGGCGAGCACTGCAAGGAAGACACGTTGTTCTTATAGTTTTGCGCCATGCATTGTTTGGTACGCAGTAGGTGCGTGTGTGTCTGTGACGTCACATGCCTCGTAAGGCAGCAGCGCAATTTTCCTTTTGCATTCATATTTTTTTTTACCTTTTTGGGCTTTGGCCAGTAGTTGCTGCTCCTAAGCCTTACAACTCACGATTGTATACACAGACACATTTGCACATTAAATTCAAATCATTTTGTTTTATCTGTGAATTTCAGTCAATATATGCCTCAGATGCTTGGACATGAAAATTCGCTTTCTTTAACAAACACCACAGCGATGAGGAAGAATCAAATATGGCGTTTACTCGCTGCTGGCAATGCCAACAAGCGAGGTGAGGCCACGCCATCTGGCGGTCTTTTGGCCAGCAGCTGTTTACAAACATTTTCAGTGTTGCGTTTTGTTTCGCACTTTTATCGACGTTTGCTTCTGGCGCGTTTACGTCTAATGTATAGTGGTACCACTATTTGACATGTAGGGCAGTGAGTCAATTTTGAGGGACCACTAAATGCCCGCAAGCCACTTATCACTGGAGTTTTCCTAATTTTCACAATTTTCCTGACAAATCGTGTGTCCGACACGTTTGCCTTCATAAAACACAATGACCGCATAATTGACTTGTCTTAATGCACGCTTTATTTTGATAATTTAAATTCGAATTAATGGCAATTTGAACGATGTCTTGTGCAGCGCGAAAGGAGCGCGCAGCTCTTGCGAATTATTTTGAAGAGGAAGATGAAGCAACAACAGTCAGTGAAGCAATGGGTAAAAAAACGTAGCAATATATTTCGAGTAGGTTGGCAGAGCTGATACATGAGATTGTTAGTGCTGTTGGTGGGTGGTAGATGAAATGTTTTTGATCAATTCCAATCGATCTGTTTCGAAAGTATGTTTAATAAATACATAAACATTATTTGAACATATCAAATTTGAAGACAATTGCTATTCTGACCTACAATAGTTAAATTATATATGTGATGAATGAGAAATTATGAAATATAATATTTATTAATATTTCATGATAAATGCAAATTGCTTTATTTGTATTGTTTTAATAAAATGTAATGAATGGCGAAAGATTACTATAATTATAAATTTAAATATCATAATTTTTCTGATTCTAATTTGTTTATATCCGTTAATACATATATAAAACGGCTTTCTATAGTTCAGCCAAATTTTGGTGTATTTTCTGATATTCCGGTTGGCAGCTCCAAGTCATGACGTCACACAAAGAGTTTGTTTTTCCCTAATCAGTGAATCATCCAGCAAGCAAAAATTATAGTAAATAGTAGATACGGAAATTAGCTACAGGTGACAAGATGTTCTCCAGTGGCCCCAACTATAACAAGCTTAAGACGAATCTACGCTTAGCGCAGAATCGTCTCAAATTGTTGGAAAAAAAGAAGGCGGAGCTGACACAGAAGTCCCGCAAGGAGATCGCCGATTACCTCGCGACGGGTAAAATAGAAAGGGCACGCATTAGAGTGGAGCATATTATACGGTATGCTGTATGTCAATTGTAAGCTGACAAATCGAAGTCATATTTTCATTGGTTTTAAGCGAGGACTACCTGGTGGAGGCCATGGAAATTGTTGAGATGTACTGCGATCTGTTGCTTGCTCGCTTTGGCCTGATCCAGCAAATGAAAGAACTGGATGCTGGCATAGCCGAGCCTGTGTCCAGTTTGGTGTGGGTCTGTCCCCGTTTGCAGAGCGATATTGGCGAATTGAAAATCATCTCCGACATCTTCATCCAAAAGTATGGGCCAGAGTTTGCAGAGCATGCACGGACTGCCACTGGCGAGCATTACGTTTCAGAGAAACTGATGCATAAGCTGACACTGCAGGCACCGCCCAAGTTGCTCGTGGAGAACTACTTGATAGCCATTGCCAAGAACTACAACATTGAATACGAGCCAGATCCACAAGTAATGCAGGAGCAAGAGAAGCCCGATCAGCAGCAGCATCATCTGATCGATTTGTCAGACCGTAATAATCTAAGTGGCGGAGGCGGTGCCCCTGCACCACCTCAAATGGGCTTCATTGGCTATCCGCCAATGCCACAGCTGCCAGACATGCCAGCGCCTCCCAGCAGCAAGCCATTCAATTATCCACCCTTCGGTGGTAGTGGTGGTGCTGGTGGAAGTGGAGGTGGAGGTGGAGGAGGGGCATGTGCCGCTGCAGGTGCAGTGCAGCCACCGCCTCCATTCGCATATAATATACCGCCCAATCAGCCGCCACCAACGACTTCCGCGCAGGGCAAATGCGCTGAGCAAAAGGATTTGAATACGAATTTCATCAATGTAAGTACATTAATAATCAATAATCCCTAAGTAGTTGTTGAGCTCAGCTTTTGGCATGTTCCTGCATGATTGCGCAATTTCAGCACGAAAATATAACTAAGAATGAGCAATCGGATGGCTCTGGCAGTCCGGATGAAAATGTTTTGGTATGTTAGATTTGAGTCGGTCGCTTGGACTTGGTCCATAACTAACTTTGCTTTTCGTTTACTCTCTACTTTACCACTCACTCACTGTAACCCAAATGTACCGTCGTCGTTCCGTTGTGACGTCACAATGTACGCGTAAGTGTAGAGTAATCAATTGTAATGAGTCATGTCATGGTCGTGGTATCTGCTTTTTACTCTTCCTGCTTGTGATATATGTATTTATAGTCAGCCATGTTTTTATTTATGATTTTAACTATTTATGATTTCAATTTTGACTTTATTTTGCCTACAACAGCGCCCCAAACCGCATAACGATCCACCGCCACGTTACTCCTCGATTAATCCTGTTAATTTGCAGGTCAGCTTCGACTTGATCTTGACCACGCGACTTAAACTTACTGCTGAATCTCATTATATTTGACTCAAGTATTTCCGTTTCTCTCTGCAGAATGCCAACAAACCGAAACCTCAACCACGCTCAAAGCTACCACCTGGCGGGCCGGAGCAGCCCAGCGCTCCACCTCCAATGGATTTACCTTCGTTGCCCAATGTACCCAACGATCTTCCCGATGTTCCAGGCAACGATAAGCCCGATGATGATGAAATCGATTTCGATGAACTGTCGCGTCGCTTCGAGAACCTGAAGAAGCGCAAGTGAAGCAACAGGATCGCCGCACCGTTTAATCTTTATGCATTCAAAATTTTGTTAACATAAATAACCAGCTATATATTTTATATACGATATGTGGCTTTTATGTATCTAGAAAAGTTCATCGCTCTCCACAACCTCTTTGAGTTCCAGCAGTTCCAGAAGGCCTTTACCTTTTGTTTCGTTGCGCACCAGCTCGTCTATAACTCGATATTGACCGGGATCGATTAGTAGAGTCAAATGCAGCGTTGATTCATCCCATTCCTCGTGCTCCACGGTATTTGCCAGTTTGACAACAGATTCCTTCAGTTTGCCGCCTCCTTCCTTGCCGGCAAAGCTTACGCGCAGCTTCATGCGGGACCGCTCAATGGGCATGTGATCGCGTAGGATTTTGATGGCTTCCAATGTGTTCTGCTTGGTGTTTTTGTTCATCTTGACATTGAAGTGTGCATCCTTCAGGGACTTCTCTATGATGGTGGCCGGATAGGGACGACGCGTCTCTGGATTAACGCAAAGTGCAGCCACACTGTTGACAATGCTATTAAGCTGTGAGTCCAGCACACTTTGTCGCTCCTTCTCTGAGACTTGCAGCTCGCCTTTGCTAAGGATTTCCTTGCAAATTTCCGTATCATCCTTGGCACCGAATGCTTTAATCAGTTCTTCCTTCTTTGCTGTCTGTCCCTTGGACACATTCGTGAAGATGGTGTGTGTTTGCAGTACCTCATCGATGTCCTTTTCGCTATTTGGTTTAAATTATTGAGTTCTGCATCTTCCGTTTAAAATTATTCACCTACCTATTGTTTCGCCAGGAGAGCACCTTGTTTTTGTAGCAGGCTATCTCAAAGCGCTTGCCTGCCTTTTTCAACCTGACAATGGCCACATTTGTGAGGCGTATTTGATTTGTGGGTGTGAATATTTTGGACATGCTGGATTTGATTGTTTTGATAGATCGGTGTGACTGCACGCAAAAACTTCATAAATACCAAAGGTTCAATATAAATACCAAAATACTAAATGAGGTAAGGGAAATTTTAATACCTTAGGACACTGTACTGTGTTAGTAACGGTTTTTGTCAATAATTAAAAGATGTTCCATTGTATTTTTTTTGTTGGTCTTTATTGCTGAATACTCCGGTAAAACATAAATCTTTAACAATGTTTGCTTACTTTTGATGCAACAATTTTCATGCTAATGAAATTGTGTGTGGCAGCATGCGGCCGTGTTACGCCCGCCTGTTGCCAGACACAATTACAATGCAGTTGTTATATGGATTTGTTAGTATGCGCACTTAACTGTCGTCAGGCAGGCCCCAAACTCGAAACTTAACTGAACTAAGTCATGTCTTATTTTATTCTTAATAATGTCCCAATTCTTACAGATGGGGTGGCTCTGGCTGAGACTCTGGACATTCGGAATAGTCGGTTTCCGGTTCGCATGGACATGTCTCCATATCGTCGATTGTGCATCCTTCCTCTTCGCAAATGCCGACATCCGAGGCCGATGCCTCGGGCTCCTCTTCCTTGTACCCAATATAGGCAGCTGCACGTTGTTTGATAATCTCCAATATAATGGCTGTAAGTATTTCGCGAGAGTCGACAATGTGGCCAACTTCTTGGGCCACTTCTGCAGATAGCCAGGGGCAGACCTCCTTCATTAGTTGTTCCTTCTTAACAGCATCACTAGCCGGCTCAATGTTCTCCAGCACTTCGGGCACCAGACTGGCAATATGTCCTTGCAACAGCTTAGCCGCAGTCACACTCTTCTGCATCTCCTCATCCAGCTCCTTGGCAATGGCATCTTGGCGCAAACGACGTTCCTTCTCAGCCTGCAAGCGCAGCTCTTCGGCTTCAAGACGACGCAGCTCGGCCAGCTCTGCCTCGCGTTGAGCTAGGAATCTGTAAGCGAATTACATTAATTTACAGAGTCCACTCAATAACTAATTTCAATGTATTTACTCTTCCTGCTTGCGACGCAGTGAGGCCAGTTCCATTTCGTGAGCCACCTCAAGCATGCTCTGCTCAATACAGGAATCGACCAGGACATCAATGATCGGCTGAGCCTCTGCATCAAAGTGAAACAGTTCGCCTTCGCCAATCTCAGTGCCCACATCGACGCCGACCTTGGCGGGCACGTAGGGTGGGGTAGGCGGCTTCTCCAGAAACAGATCGGTCTGTGTGTCTACTGAGTATTCTGGTGGACGTTGGAGCAGCTTTTCCAAATATTTCTCCGTTTGTATGTTCTCGTGCTTTCGTCCTTGTACTGGCGGTGGTGTACCTAAGACATTGCGCTGATTGCGGCACTGCATCGAACGCTTGCGCAGCATATTACGGCGCCGTAGTTCAGCAGCCTTGTCAAATGGATCCACCTCCGCCTACATGCGAATGAAAGCCAATTACTCATGGGTCAGGGTTGCTGCTGTCACAATTAACACTCACCAGCATTGACGGAGTACCAAAGTTGCTTCCTTTTATGACGCGACGGTCGTACATCATATTCATATACGGCTCTGGCGGCGGCACGACGGGCCTGGAAAGAGTTACAACAGAGTTACAGCTGGCAATTAGTAAACCTCGACCCAGTTCAACAAACTACGACGGGGGCTACGCTCTAAAAAATGTTCAGGCTTATTTAGACCCAAAATCTGTTGCACTCTTCGCGCGATAAACATCAAATTTGTGTAGTGCATCACGTCTCGCCCTGTTACGCCCCCCTACAGCTGAAATGGGGGCGTCGGCTTGTCAAGTCATCTCCGATTCGAATCAATTTCCGTTAAGTTCACTACACTTTTGGGTCAATGGGCAGAGCGACTTAGTCCTAGCTGGCCAGCTAGCTTTACAGAAGGTCTTAAAGCCAGCTTGCTAGAAATGCTTAAAGAGGACTCTCAACACTTGCCCCTGGACTGGCCAGTAATTTATGACTTGCTTATTTAGATGCCACGTACTTGTATGTATATGTATTTGTGTGGGCTAGTGGTATTGCTAAACACATATATAACTTTGTCAGACATTGCACTCCTTAGCGAGCCTGGAACCTGAACTCGTGACCTATGCAAATTTTTAGAGTTTGTTGGCGCAGAGAAGTGGCCCACTAACAGGAAGTCACATTGAAGTTCTCAGCCAAGCAGCACACAACCAAATGCTAAATGTCTACCATACGGGGTCTGGGTCCTGAAGTACAAAGTAATCAACCACAGCGACGACTTCAATAGGCGTAAAGGACCATAGCAGTGTGTATATGTATATGGTCAAAATAAGCTTAGCCGCATAGCTGAAGTATGAGCTGAAGGGCCAGGTGAGTTGCCTTAAGTTTGAACTAAAGCTAGTGTGTTAGTTAGGTAGGCAGATAGAAATATCTAGTAGACAGATCTATAAGTCATATCAGGCTAAGTCCGTATTGGCATTGGATTGAAACTTTACTTAAATTCTAATATTGGAAAGTTTAGTTAGTAATAATGAATCAGACTATAAGATTTTGAATACTGTCGCAGCTGAGAATAATTATAATGTATACCGAAGTATTTTAGTACATAATCCCGTTCACCGGAAAAATGTATTATTATTATATTAGACATTATGATATGAGCATGACAGATTAGATAGATTATCGGAAGCTATATGCACTAATGAATATCAATGTTAGATATGTGAACAAAGCTAATATGCATATATACAAATATAATATGTATTTAATATATCTAGGACCAGATTACCGAATATCAAATTGAGTTCATTTATACAGAAAATGTCGATTCATATATGCATATACCTACATACATATATACAACACACAGCAAAAGTAGGCAACACTTTGGCAGACAAATAATATTTTGTATATTGTATATACATATATGTATATACATATATAGCCCCTAGCTCATACCGATATATATGCTATTTTTATTCTCTTTTATATATACGTATCACACGTACGTTCTCTATGCAATGTCCTGCTGCCTTACATCCTACACTCGGTGTTTTTTTTTTTTTTCAGCTTTTATTATATGGCATTTAAGCTAAATTTCCGTCCAGTTCTTTTTTGTTTTTCTTCTGCTTTGGTTGTTGCCAATAAAATCTTGATTTAAATTATTTAAGAGAGGGACAGGGAGAGGCAGAGTAAACGCTGCAGGGAAATAGGCGCGTTGCATGCCACATTACGAAGTCGATGTCGATGTCGGTGTCCGTGCGATGTCCTTGCGCGGAAAATTCAATTGACTAACGAATGCGCCAAATAAATTAATCAGCATTGGACTTTTAAAATTTCCAGGCAATAGAATATAAACAAAAAAAAAAAACGCTTTCAATTCAATTGTTGACGCAGCAATCGATAAGCAGGTGGTTTGACTAACGACTTGACCACTGAACCACCACTGGCCAGCCCCCAAAATAAGCGAGTGACCATCTCCCACCCCGCCATCTCATTTGAATTTATGGAAATATTTTGTGGAGCAGTTAGCTCATTTTTGCTTTCACCTCTCTGTGGGAAGGAGGATTGCTAGCCCAGCGATTATAAGCATTGAAAATGTGTGAATAGGGTATGATGTTTTTGGACAAATAAGCAGCAGAAGGCCTGGTTGAATATACATATATATATAATAAGATTTATATGCTTGATTAGCAGAGTGAGTTCACTAGGTCGAAATATATCTAACTGTCTCTCTCTCTCACGTTTCTCTGTCTATCCGTCATATCATACATATTATACACTAAATTAGGCTAATGCTCCCTGAAAGTTTTTGATTATCCCTCGCTTATATTCCTTATGATTGCAAGCAAATCAAGTAGTCTTCCAGTAGTATTCAGCTACACTATACCTACAGGGTATCTCCAAGTCGGCTACTCATTGCCGTTTTGCTTTGCTAGTGAAATGGGGCGCCCAGTCTTTTATTACCTCTTGTCGCTATTAAAATTGCGTCGCTGCTGCAGCTGTTGCTGGAACTGCGCCTTGGTTATGTGCAGGCCCCCGGCCAGCGAGGAGCCATCGGCTTTGGAGGCCGCCGCAGCAGCAGTGGCAGCCGCCACAGCCGCTGTGGCACGCACACCGTTCTGCCTGGTGGAGGCTTTGTTATTTTCCTTATCATTCTGCGGTATCTGGCGATTAGTGTCCTTGTTCTGATTCGAGTTCTGAATGCTATTGTTGTTGTTGTTGTTGTTGTTGTTGTTGCATTGGTTGCTGGCATTACAGTAGTTGTGCAGGATCATGGGATAGGAGGAGTAGGCATAGACATGACGCCGCAACATGGATGGGGGCAGCATTTGCAGCTCATGCGGCGGCGGCAGAAAGATGCCCGTGGGCACGGTCGTCTCGAAACGTGGCCGCTCCATTTGCCGTCCGGATAGCCAGGCGCCGGTGGCGGCGGTGGCACTGCTATGACCGCTGCTACCGCCCCCGCCGCCGCCGCGTCCGTAGTTCTCGTCCGGCGCCAGGAAGCGCAGCTTCTGGCTCAGCTCATCGGCAAAGCTGCGCACCTCCTGTGTGCTGCGCGAGAAGAACGAGCGCGTGGTCAGCGGCGGATTCGATGAAATGCTGCCCGCTGCAACAATGGGCTCATCAGCATGTTCCGACTGTTCTCGAATTATGGGACGCACAATGGCCTGGTTGGGCTTCGAGTGCTGTGCCGTGCTCTGCTCGTCTAGATCCACGGAATTGTGCAGCACGGAGAAGGCGTTGGTGACCACGTGCTGAAAGTTGTACGGACTCTGATAGCGTTGCACGTTGTACGCCGTTTGCTGATGGTTGCCCTTGTTGTTGTTGTTGTGGTTGTGGTTGTTGTTAGTGTTGTGGTTGCTGGTGCTGCGTCCTGGTGCATAAGGATAGCTGGTGGCAAACGAGAAGTTCTGTGCTCGCTGCTCCGGTCTATTGGCTGGGAAGTGTTCTGGATTTATGTGCTGCTCATTGCTGCTGCTGTTACCCTCTGGCATGTTACTCTCTGGCTTGCTCAATCAAAACACTTGCGACACATTGCCTG